TCCCCACCCCATTCCCCTTTGGTAACCGTTAGTTCATTATCTAAGTCCATGAGTCTGTTTCTATTTTGTAGATAAGCTCATCTGTGCCATTTTTTTTTTTGATTCCACATATAAGTGAGACCATATGGAATTTGTCTCTGTCTGACTTACTTCACTTAGTATGATAATCTCCAGGTCCATGCATGTTGCTTCAGATAGCATTATTTCATTCTTTCGGATGGCTGAGCTCTATCCTACTGTATTCATGTACCACATCTTTATCCAGTCCCCTGTGGATGGACAGATCGCTTGTTTTCATGTCTTGTCTGCTGTAAACAGTGCCTCAGTGAACACTGGGGTGCACGTATCCTTTTGAATCATGGTTTTCTCTGGATATACGCCCAAAAGTGAGACTGCTGGATCATATGATAGCCCTGTTTTTAGTTTTTTAAAGGACCCCCATACTGTTCTTCATAGTGGTTGTACCAATTTATATTCCTTCCAACAGCTTGTTTGGTGGACTAAACAATGACAGATGTGCCAATGAAATAGGGGAGATGTCTGATTCAACAGGCAGTTTCGAAGAGCTCTAATTTGGGGGTCTTGGTCCCCTGAGAAGGGTTCCTGGGATGCCCACATACAATCCAGATTGCATGGAGGTGTTGGTAGCAAATACGTGTAGAAGCCGATAGGCTGCAAAGGGCACTTGGTAGGTGCTCAGTCACTCAGTTGTGTCCAACTCTTTGGGGCCCCATGGACTGTAGCCTTCCAGGCTCCTCTGTCCATGGAATTTTCCAGGTAAGAATACTGGAGTGTGTCGCCATTTCCTTCTCTAGGACGTTTTCCTGACCTAGGGATCAACCCCACTACTTTTGTTTCTATGAGTCTGACTACTTAAATAGCTCATACAAGTGGAATCATACAGTATTTGTCTTACTGTGGTCTGATTTGACTTAGCATGATGTCCTCAAATTTCTTTCTTTAACAATTTTTTATTGGAGCATAGTTGATTTACCGTGTTATATTAGTTCCATGTGTATAGCAAAGTGATTCAGTTGTACATACACATGGAGCCACTCAGTTTCAGATTCTTTTTCCATATAGGTCATTCCAGAATATTAAGTGGAGTTCTCTGTGCTGTACAGGAGGAGTTATTAACTTTATATGCACTATTGTGTGTATTTTGATCTCAATCTTTCAATTTATCCCTCCCCACCCCATTCCCCTTTGGTAACCGTTAGTTCATTATCTAAGTCCATGAGTCTGTTTCTATTTTGTAGATAAGCTCATCTGTGCCATTTTTTTTTTTGATTCCACATATAAGTGAGACCATATGGAATTTGTCTCTGTCTGACTTACTTCACTTAGTATGATAATCTCCAGGTCCATGCATGTTGCTTCAGATAGCATTATTTCATTCTTTCGGATGGCTGAGCTCTATCCTACTGTATTCATGTACCACATCTTTATCCAGTCCCCTGTGGATGGACAGATCGCTTGTTTTCATGTCTTGTCTGCTGTAAACAGTGCCTCAGTGAACACTGGGGTGCACGTATCCTTTTGAATCATGGTTTTCTCTGGATATACGCCCAAAAGTGAGACTGCTGGATCATATGATAGCCCTGTTTTTAGTTTTTTAAAGGACCCCCATACTGTTCTTCATAGTGGTTGTACCAATTTATATTCCTTCCAACAGCGTAGGAGGCTTCCCTTCTCTCCACATCCTCTTCAGCTTTTGTTATTTGTAGACTTTCTGATGCTGATCACTCTGACCAATGTGAGGTAATACCTCATTGTAGTTTCGATTGGCATTTCTCTAATAATTAGTGATTTTGAGCACAATGTCCTCAAATTTCATCCATGTTGTGGCACGTGACAGGACTTCCTTCTCTTATCATCTAAATGTTTTGAAATATGATTCTGAAAATTTCCCCAACTACCATCTCAACTGGTGGCAACGTCTGAAGGTGTCTTCAAGTTGTCATTGCTGAGACGGGTGTGTGTGCCACAGGCATCTCATGGGCAGAGGCATGAGATAGTGGTAAATACCCTACATGTACAGGACAGCCCCTCTGCCCTCCAACAAGGAATTACCTGGCCTCAAATGTCCAATGATCAAGGTTGCATTTGAAAGCAGGGCACAGGACTGTGAAGATCAAGTTGGGAAGGCTGTTCCTAGAGTAGCAGTCAGTGGCCTGGAAAACTCTTCGGGCTTTGGAGCAAGAGAGGAAGTATCAAGCCTGAAGCCTGAAAACACAAACCTGTGTATTAACTTGATGGAGAGAAAGGAGAATTCACTTTTCTATTTTTGTTTCAATTGTCTAAGATGGAAAAACATTTCCCAAGAACAAAGAAAACAATGCTAAAAACAAAATAGGGAAGTATTGTGGCCTCAGAAATGTTGTTGTTTCGTCTTGAAGTCGTGTCCAACTCTTTTCCAACCACACGGACTGTAGGCCGCCAGGCTCCTCTGTCCATGGGATTCTCCAGGCGAGAACCCTGGAGTGGGTTACCATTTCCTTCTTTATGGGGTTTTCCTGACCCAGGTATTAAACCCATGTCTCCTGCATTGCAGGAGGATTTTTGTTTTATTTTATTTTATTTTATTTTATTTTATTTCTACCACTGAGCCGCCTGGAGAGCCCTGGCTTAAGAAACACAAGTCAGAAAAGAAGACTTAGTAAATTTAACAGAACTGAAGTTACCCACGAATAAAGCACCAAGCCTCTAAAATGCTAATGGAACTTAGAAATGTGATTTGAGTCTCAGCGTCGTTGTCAGTAACCTCTGAGGGCACATAAAGAAGTTCCAGAAAAATGAGGACAATCGTATAATTCCCTTATTCTCATAAAGACTAGCTTCTGGTTGATATAAACTGGTAGCCTTGATGTTTACAACCTTGCAACATTGTGAAATAGATCATTAAGTTGTTTATGTACCTTTAGAAAAGGCAAGGATCCTTAGCCACTTCTGCCTGCAGTCGGCTCTTTATACCTGTGGATGAGAAATCCAGCCTCGGAGGTACTGGTCCATTTTATGCCAATGACTTGAGCATCTGTGGATTTTGTAATCGTCTGGGAACCTGGAACCAACCCCCTGAAGATGCTGATGAATACCTGTATTAATTTAGAGGAAGACAGCTGAAGCTGATTTCAGTTCCCTTATAAATACTTTATGAGGTTGGTAGATGCATCAAACTCCAATCAATTTTTTTCTTGGTGTCAGCAAAGTGTTTTAGAGGATCAGACTTGTCACTAGCTGAGTAGGGCTACATCCATCCGGGTGGGGATCGCTAATGGTTACATAGGCTTTAACCCTTGGTACTGCACTTTTTGTAAGTCAGCAACTGAATTAGATGACACAAAGCAAAGACAAATAACGCACATTTTGATTACAATCAAAATTCTATTTATTACCTCCACAAGTTGGGATGATGATTCCAAAGCCTCCAAAACAAAACTTAAGAGTAAACTGGACCTTAATTTGCGTAAGTTAAATACACTTGTGAAAATAACGAAGACATGGCTTGCTAGCAGTTTCTGATAAACATCTGTGGTTCTGATGGACCTGTCACATCACAGGTCAAAAGAGTTGTCAAAAGAGAGACCCTACTTATCTAACATCTTACTAACATCTAATAAGATATTAGACTGCTTAGATCATGGAAATGATTGCTTGTGCTAATTAGACCACACAGAAAATTTTGTTCTGTTCCAGTGTGGTCTTTCAAGGAGGACTATTATAATTGATCTAGTTGTTAGGATGAGGAGGAAGATAGTTGATAATTGATTGATTATGGTTGATTAGAAACTGTGTCCTAGGAGAAATATTTGAAGTAACTAGAGAAGAAAAAAGATATATAGCAGGCTTGGTGAGTTAGATACAGCAGGCTTAATATTTTAGGAACGATTACATAGGAAGGGTTTTTTCGTACTAAGAAGTCAATTGNGATTAGAAACTGTGTCCTAGGAGAAATATTTGAAGTAACTAGAGAAGAAAAAAGATATATAGCAGGCTTGGTGAGTTAGATACAGCAGGCTTAATATTTTAGGAAAGTTATTACATAGGAAGGGTTTTTTCGTACTAAGAAGTCAATTGGGAACATAGAAATAAGACTTCTGGCTTTCAGAAAACACTGTCTAACAATCAGACTGAGACAACACAAGATCCTGTCTGTTTAAGAGCACTGATGTGCCCTGAAGGGGCTGGAGCAAGGGTGATGAAGAAGAGATTTTTCCATTTGATGGAGAGTAGGTTAAATCAGAGCTTCCCTGGTAGCTCAGCTGGTAAGAGAGCCACCTGCAATGCTGGAGATCCCAGTGCGATCCCTGGGTCGGGAAGATCCCCTGGAGAAGGGATAGGCTGTGCACTCCCGTGTTCAGCTTCCCTGGTAACTCAGACGGTAAAGAATCTGCCTGTAATACGGGAGACCTGGGTTTGATCCCTGGGTCAGGAAGATCCCCTGGAGAAGGGATAGGCTATGCACTCCCGTGTTCAGCTTCCCTGGTAACTCAGATGGTAAAGAATCTGCCTGTAATACGGGAGACCTGGGTTTGATCCCTGGGTTAGGAAGATCCCCTGGAGAAGGAAATGGCAACCGACTCCAGTATTCTTGCCTGGAGAATCCCAGAGGAACCTGGTGGGCTACAGCCCATAGGGTCGGAAAGAGTCGGCCACGGCTGGGTGACTAAGCGCACAGCACAGGTTGAATCAGAAGGTACCACACCTGGGGTCTTACTAGAATCACTTGGGAGCTGCTCTTTTAAACATACTAAGGTCAGAAATCCATTCCAGAGATTCTAATTGAGCAGACATGGGGGAAGGGCCCAAGAATCTAGATTTTAAAACGGAAAGTTCCTTAGGTGGTTGAGGCGTGCACTCACCTTTGAGGAGCAAGCACATGGGCCCTAAGCTCCGCTTCAGTTTCACGATTCCGAGTGAAGATAAGGACCTTGTAGGGAAGGTCTCCAGAGTGCCTCAGTGAACTTGATCTACCCTCCATCTCCTTGTGTTTCTTCAAGGTCTGTCAAAGTCAGGCGCCATGGAGAGACGTTTACTCAGGTTATCTCACGTAATTCTCACCGCAAACAAATAAAGAAGGCCTGTCCTGAGGTGCCTGCTGGACTTGTGGAAACTGAGGTTCAGAGAAGTTAGATGACGACTCAGCAGCGGAATGAAGATTCAATTCCAGATTGTCTGATGGCAGCGCTGGTTCTGTCCACTGATTCACTCTTCTATCTTCCACGTGCTGTTCTGCAAACAAAAGAGCGTCAGGTTCTAAGGTACATAAAACAACATATCCTGGAAAAGGTGGAAAGATGACAGAGCTTGTTTTTCTCTTCTTACTGGCCCCCTCCTCAGACCCATGGGAGTTCTGCAGGCTTATCCTCCCTCTGACACATTAGTGACACACATGTTTCTTGCACCCTTTTCTCTTTGTATTTTATTTTTTTTAATTTATTGGATTACAGTTGATGTACAGTGGTGCATTAGTTTCAGGTGTGTAGTATAGTGATGCCATTATATATACACACACACACACACACACACATATTCATTCTTTTTCAGATTCTTTTCCTATTTCGGTTATTACAGAATATTGAGCAGGGTCCCTTGTGCTATATAGTAGGTCCTTGTTGGTTAACTATTATATTAATATATATATATACATATAGTAGTGTGTGCATGTTAATCCCAAGCTTCTAATTTATTCTTCCCTGCCATGTTTTCCCTTTGGTAACTGTGAATCTGTTTTCCAAATCTGTGAGTCTGTTTCCATTTTGTAAATAAGTTAATTTATTTCATTTGTTAAAAATTAGATTCCACATATGAGTGATATCATATGATATTTGTCTGGTTCCTTTATTTCTTAAATTTTCAAAACTTTCCTGGATCTTTGCCTTTTTTCCAAATCAAGACTAACAATATTTCTGTGGTCCCTTGAGAGCTAGATTGTTTGTGTAGAAGTTACCTGAATGGATTGAAGGGGAGAATTTGTTTCAAGGAATAGTCCCAGCAGACAGAACCACCATGCCTTTGTCCTCACAAGCATCATGTTACAGAGAAGTATCTGTAATAGGATGCATGTCACATAAGTGCAGTTAGGAATATATAGGGAATACATATATATATATACACACACATATATGTAGGAATATGTATGTGTGTATATATATATGTAGGAATATATATGTGTGTGTGCGTATATATATATATATATATATATGAAAGACCTGCCCAGCTAGTCACATCATAATGTGAAGATTCCTTCTGAAAATTCTGCTACAAATTGAGCATAGTGTACCTCGTTGCATATCCTCTCTCTGAGGTTTAGAATAACACACGATTGGCATCATCAAGCAACTGCCCAGAAAATCATGTTTTTCAGCTATACCTATACCATGTCTGTCTGTCCATCTATCTATCTCTCATTTCTATGGACTTGAAAACACTTGAGCTGGAATTCTAATTTCTTTAGGATATCTGGAGATATTCTGAAAATACCTGTAATCACCATGGTTTTAAAGCAGATGTTCTGGAAATATCTCTGATCACCAGGTTTTTAAATAAAGCTTCAATGATGGAGAGAGCCAGACAGAGAGTGAACATCCTACAACACAGCTGGCGGGGAAACCGAGGCACAGAGCGGCTGCTGAGTGGAGCTGAGGTCGCGCGGCAGCAGCAGCCCGTGTCAGGGGCAGACCAGGGCCAGGCTCTGCCCTTCATTCCTGTACATGAATATATTTTAAGATACATGTTCTCAGATGGGATTTAATCAAGACGCTATATAAACCCACAAAACATAAATAAGGAAATAAACAAGCAAAGCTTCACTGAACTATTGTTTGTCAGCTCTTAACCCCTCTTATCCCAGGGCCTGGTGACCAAGTTTCCTAGAGCTGATGACCTTGGAAACACAAATCATACAAATCAAATGGCTCCTTCATTCCAAGTGCAGGCTGAGTTTTATTTTTTTTCAAAGCTTCTTGAAAACACATTAAATTTAAGTAAAATCTCCAGGCAGGCTGTTTGGTTGCGTCTGACCTTTTGGTAAACATGATGAATGGAATTCCAGTACAGACGCTGCCCCTTGGTACAGAGTTCTGCCCGGTGCAGCCGCGGGTCTCCGGGCAGGGGTGGAGTGGTCTTCGCTGAACTGCTTCACGGGGGTGCAGGTCGGCTGTCAGTCAGGCTCAGCCTTGCCAGCATTTTTAATAAACCATGATTAGGCTGTAGAGTTCTTTTCAGGCTTTTGGCTCTGCTCGCATTTAACTGATCACATTCCCTCTTCACAGCTGCTTCTCACAGAGCATCTTTAAGCTCTTGCAGGAGACAGAGGGAGGTTTGAATGTGATCCAAGCATTGGGTTTCCATTAAATTCAACAAGGAACAGAAGACTGGAGGGGGAAGTTATATTTGGTGGAGACTGGGTGCACTGTCCAATTTCCATGTTCTCTGGGAAATCCTGCTTCTTTCTAGTCACTTAACAAGCGACTGGGGAGCTGTGTCTTGGGGAGGACCCTGGCATAGCCCAGAGGCTTGGGAGGCCAGGCTCAAGGCTGCTGAGAAAGGGGGGGGGCAGACCTTCCGCTTCTCTGGGCACTGGTTTCCTTATCTTTATAATCAGGGTGCTGGAGAGAAAATTCTGGCTGCTTTGGCTTCTGCGATTCTAGTGTAGAGGTTGACAGATTATTTTCCTATGGAGGGTGAGGTAGTAAATATTGGGTTGGCCACAGCATTCGTTCAGATTTTCTGTTCCATCTTATGGAAAAACCCAAGCGATCATTTTGGCCAACCCGATATTTTTGACCTGTGTAGGCCAAGAGGCACAATCAAGGATCTTGCATAAGTATTATAGAACAAGAGGGCAAAGAAATGCCCATCAATTAATTTTTTTGTTGGGAGCAGATAATATCTTGCTTCAGTGGGATTCAAACTTAGTCTTCTCTGTTGTCAGAGAGATTGCAAATATTGATCTGTAGAAACCATTCTTGGCTCATGCATATGTGCTAAGTCGCTTCAGTCATATCCAGCTCTTTGAGACCCCATGGACTATAACCCACCAGGCTCCTTTGTCCACGGTATTTTCCAGGCAAGAATACTGGAGTGGGTTGCCATCCCTCCTCCAGGGCATCTTCCCGACCCAGGGACCAAACCTGAGGATTTCTTGTGTCTCCTGCATTGACCACCGAGTTCTTTACCACTAGCGCCACCTGGAAGCCCACTTGGCTTATGGGCCGTGTGGAAACAAGGAGTGGGCCGTGTTAGGTCCACAGGATGTAGTGTATCAGGTTGTCGTGTGGTGCAGAAATACCCTTGAAGGAGTTGACAAAGGAATTGAAATAAAAAGAGGCATCAGACAACAAGAAAAGGAAAGGTATTCCAGGCAGGTGGGAACACGTGGACAAAAACGTGGCAGCAGCTGATGGCTTATATCTCAGGTCAGGACGGCAGTGGGCACTCAGGATGGGGAGGGAATGGGTTCTTAGAGAGCAAGTCCTGAGGCAGAAGTCACACCAGAAACAAAAAGTGTCTTCCAATACTAGCCAATTAAAAATTATTTTTGTCTAGTCCAACTCAAATTTTGCACCCTTGTCACCTTCTCTCTATGGTTATTTTTATGACTTTTTTTTTTTTATTACTAGTCACTGTTCGTGGCCAATATACTTTTTTGGTTGGTTTCTTTGCTTTTAAAATTATATATGACCTATCAAAATTTAGTCACTGAGTTCTGATGGATAATATAAACAAATACCTCTGGGGGTTCAAGAGGCTTCTAAAGTAAAATGCCCTCTGATTTGTTTAGGTGTCTCAGTGGATAAAGAGTCCACCTGCAGTGCAGGAGATGTGGGTTCTACTCTTGGGTCGGGAAGATCCCCTGCAGGAGGGCATGACCACCTGCTCCATTATTCTTGCCTGGAGAATCCCATGGACAGAGGAGCCTGGCGGACTGTAGTCCATGGGGTCACAAAGAGTCAGACACGACTGAGTGAGCACACACACACACAGCCAGCCAGCCAGTGATACACATTCAGGAAGATTCGGATGTCGCCTCTGCAGTGACGTCATGCCACAGGCTTTATCGATTTTCATGTTATAGTTTTACATTTCTGCAAGTAAATGTTTATGTCCAGTTGAATTCATGATGCTGCTGATATGTCCCCAAGCAAAATCAACTCTCCCCCTGCCCCCCAAATAGCCTGAAAATGCGTACCCGTTTCTCTTGTGTAGTTTATGCAGGCTTCACAGTTGAGACTGAAGCAGTACTTCCCCACATCCAGTTTTAGACAGATGCCTTGACTGGTGGTCTAGAGAGTCATGCAGCCCATTGATTTCTCTGAGGTCCGTCATAGCCTGAGTGCTAGAGGGTAGAGCCTGAATCAAGCCTTGAAGTGCAGGCTTTATTTGGGAGATGGAGTCTAGGGCACAGAGTGACGTAAAGAAGAAAGCCAAGAAAGATATAAACCAAGGTGAAACCCTGCATCGACAAGCTGGCTATGAAGAGATGCTCTAATGGTCGGCTGGTGCATCTGCTGAGCCGAAAGGACATCTCCAGGCCATCTGTTTGGTGGGCCTCTGGCTTAGGGAAGTCCCCAAGAAGGATGGAGGACAGGAAGTTCATCAGCCCAGTTCCTTCCCGTGTCCTCTGTCTCCCAGGTCCAGACTCAAATCATGGGCAGTTAACTCTGGCGCACTGCAGGATTGCATCATGCGATCCCTTGGGTGTCTTCTTGGAATGCCAGATCTCATCACTTGCTTCCATTTACACCCAGAATATGAGGGAGAGCCCGGAATCCAGGTCTATGGCTGCTTGGCCCAAACTCATGGTGGTAACCCAGGGGGAGGTTAATACCCCCAGAGCAAGGGACTGGTCAGTTTCTGGAGGTTTCAGCCCACACTGAAAAGTGGGAAGCCAGTGAGGTTTGCATCTGGTCCAAGGTCACTAGTCAGATGCCAAGTTAGACTCTAGAACAAGAGGGGTCAATAGGCTAGAGGTGGGATTGACCTGAACCTAAAACGTGGGTGCAATTGAGATTTCTAGAGAAAGAGCAAACGGCTGTTTCTCGGAGAGTCATGGATGACAGCAAGATACAAAGATGAAAAGTCTGGGAGGCGAAAGTCTGGGGCCATTCATAGGCTAGTTTGGCTGGGGTGGTCTTGGACTTTCTTTGTGCTGTGTGTTTAGCACTACTCTTGGCCACCCGCCCGCCTTTCCCGCCACCCTCAATTCTGTCGTTTAGGAAACACCCATCCTGTGGCTCAGCTGCCATGCCCTCTCCACATACTTCAGGTAAAGCTGCCCCAACCCCAGGCTTCCCTGGTGGCTCAGCTGGTAAAGAGTCTGCCTGCGATGTGGGAGACCTGGGTTCCAGCCCTGGCTTGGGAAGATCCCCAGCTCTGGAGATTGCATCTTGATTAGTTCCAACTGGTCAAAGAGGTCACATGGCTGTTGCCAGTTATTGATTGAAAGATGAGTGTGTGACCCAATTGAATGAGCAGAAGGATGGTGAAGGCTTCTGGCAGAGTTCTGTCATTGCTCAGGGAAAAATGTGGGGTGTATAGGTTGTCAAGTCTGGATGTGGTGCCTGGATCAGCTGTAACCATCTCGGGGGGATGAGAGACACCAGACTGAGGGCAAAGGAAAGTTTTTAGAGAATACAGGTGGGAGAGAAGTAAAGAACTTTGGTCTTAGATGAGATTTGTCCATCATGTTGACCAAATGAGAACCTGCCTTACCTCTGGACTTCAAGTTATATCAGATAATACCTTTTTTTTCTTATTGCTTGAGAAACTTTAAATCCAGTCTTGGTTACTTGACTTGGTTACAGCCACATATTCTGAAAAAGAATGAAATACCCAGCAGATGGAAAATCATCACAAGGGGCAAAAGAACTGTCCTTTGTTCAAATGGCTGCGATGGAATAGATGCAGGTCGGTCTTTACTTCCCACAGGTTGGAAGCAGAGACTATGCCAGTTGGATGCAGCAGAAACACGGTCAAGTAACTGGACATTTTTTTAAATCCTCAGGCTCTATCTTTTACTGTTGCCAATTTTTCTTTTCCTACTACAGGCACAGATAATATCAAGACTTTAGAGGTTTGTTGTAAAGATGCAACGAGGTGTTTTATGTAAAGGCCCTCAACAGTGCAATCAACCAGCATCTCCTTTTCCCTGTCGGTAACACACTTCACATTCTTCACATGGGCAAAAAGGTACTTTTATCTGTCATAGAAAAAGTTTTGACTTTTTCTAACTGACTGCACATGGGAATATTATAGGAAAGATGCTGACTTTACCTGATTTGACCACATTTAATAGGAAATAAGAAAGAAAGAAAGTGAAGTCGCTCAGTGGTGTCTGACTCTTTGCGACCCCATGGACTGTAGCCTACCAGGCTTCCCCGTCCATGGGTTTTTCCAGGCAAGAATACTGGAGTGGGTTGCCATTTCCTTCTCCAGGGGATCTTCCCGACCCAGGGATCAAACCTGGGTCTCCCGCATTGTAGGCAGATTCTTTACTGTCTGAGCCACCAGGGAAATAAAGTACTTTCCAATCATGAGATTCTATGACTTTGGGGTGACTTTAACTGCAATAAAGGCATGTGTTCAGTTGTCTGAGATCTTTCCCTATTTATATTGTAGAACTTTTGCCCTACATGAAGATTAATATACAGACCATGAGGAGTACAGTATGT